CAGTAGAGCTTTATAAGAAAACTTACCTGAATTTCTGGAGGATTAGGAAATCAGTTGTAAGTCATTGGTAGAGTTGATTTGACCTGGCAATTATTAGAGCAAAGGGGGTTTGTAATCATGTCTGTTAGCAGTGTGTCTTTTCTGAATTTATTCCTTAGAAATACACTAATAATAATAATTTTTTAGTATGTTGAGAAGTATAAAAAATGACTGTGAAGAATCACTTCATAACATATTATGAACAGGATTGGATTTATCAAAAAGGGCTAGATTTTCGTATCCTCAGGCCACTTCTTACAAATGAAAGATCCTAATCTAAGTCCCTGAGCCCCTGTTTAAGCTTTTGAACAAAGGAGATTTCTCTTTTATGTCTTCCTTTTTGCAGCTTTGGAATGATTAAACAATGGAAATACACTTTGAAAGGAATCTGTTTCATACACTACCACAACGATAACAATTTTCACAAATTCTCCCAAACTGTAGGTGACAAAACTGTTGGAAGAACTGAGAGAGGCTAAGGAGAGCCAGAGTCCTGAAATGAAACATTTCTTGTGCCTGGAAAAGAAAATCAAGCATATAGAGACAAGACATGCAGAAAGAGAGCAAGAAATTCGAAAGGTACATCAGAGTATATCTGCATTTACTTCTCAAGAGCAATTTATCAGTTTAACTGTAATTCTATGGTATTTGCACAGGCTCATTTAGCTCACACTGCCAGGGAGCAAGTACTTTTTTGTACAGCCATGGTTTTGTCTTTGGTGCCTGCTGATGCAAGTGACAAAGTAGTAGACAAAGTGCCAGTCAGCGCTTCCATGCGGTGGTAATTAAGACTACTTGTGCATGACTCGCATATCAGGTGCGTAACTTCCTTGCAACCTGATTTAATGAGGCCCTGCTTTTGCAGAGGGTTGGACCACGTGACCTCTGGAAGTCCCTTGTATCATACGGTTATTTCATATTTCAATTACACAATGAAAACTAGCTATTGAAAAATTGGCGAGAGTTTGTAATGCAGAGGTTGTTAAGCTATGATATATTCCTCAGCCGAACTGTAATTTTATTTTCTAGTCCCAGAAGTCCCATTCAGAAAAGCTGCATTAAAAGTATAGAAACATCTTGCAGCAGTCTACCACAGACTGTTTTTAATATGCGAAACAAAACCAAAAAAGCCTTTATCCTCTACAAACTAAGAATTTTGGATTTTGACAGTTGGATCTTTGTGGTATAGCTTCTTGTATCTGACATTTGTATCCCTTGAATGGGTAAAACAATTCTTTCATCTTATTTTATGTCACGGCCTCCATCCTCATTTTTCATCTATCTGGGGAGCTTCTATCATCTGGAAACAGTTTTCTAGTTAATACAGATTTTTTTTTCTCAGCACTTTCATCATTAATAGTATACGCAACAATTACTACTAAGTAATTTCATCTTTCCTGGTGCTGGTAGCCTTGTTATGCATTAAGCTTTGGATTTTGTTTATCCTAGTTCTGCACCTTTAATCATCTGCAGTGGGGCACCGAACAGTCCCCCAACGAACAGTCCCCCAAATAAATGATAACAAACTGAACAGTGTAGGAAAACTAATTGCTGAACAAGGAAATAACAGGTTATCCTTAGTATCAAACTACAAATACAATAATTATGGCCTTTAAGTGGTAGAGCTTTCCTTAAACAATCTATTACAATTAATAGTGGTGTGGAGATCTTGCTATCTTGTGACACTTTTTATTTTGGGTAATTTAATAGGCTTATGCCATGGATTCATGTCAAAATTAATTCAAACTTTTATCTGCAGCTGCTTCAGACCTTTGTGACTACTGGATATTTTCTGATAATTCATAGAACTTGTGGTTTTTAAAAGTACAGTAGTAGCCCAGAACATGTATTCAGATTTGGTTTGTTTCTCTTGCAGAGCGGTCTTTCAATTAACACATTTAAATGGCAATTCAAAAGGTTCATTTTGATTACAGAGGGGTGTTTGTTATATGCTCAGCTTTGTCTTAAATATTCAAACTTTTAATTGCTGCTTTGGAGAGGGTAAGTTAAATTCTCCTGAGGCTCATTAGTCAGTAATGGATTTTACCCTTTGTTCATTAATGCAAATATTTCAAGGAATATATTGCTACAGCATGATTTTTGTAATATTCAGAACAAATTGTGTCCACTTAACAACGTGAGCATGGGGCTTTGAGACTGAGCATCAAATATAATAAAGTGGCATATTTTTGCAAAGGGGCAGCGCTGGCTGGCTGTTTGACGAGGAAGTCACAGTGCTGACTTGCTTCTAATTTGCAGGCATCCCAACTGACACAACATATTACTGAAGCAAGGCAAACCCACGAGGTTGAGAAGTGGCGACGACTGGCACAACGGAAGAATCAAGAACTGGAGAAATTTCGAGTGGAATTGGATTCAATATTAGATGTTTTACGTGAACTGCAGAAACAAGGGGTTGTTATTCCTGCACCTAATTCCAGTAGATTCAGCATGACAGTTGTTGGAAGACCTAATTAGGTAGGAGTTGATTAGAGAAGCAGAATTTTAATATTCAAAGTTATGTATAGAAAATATTATTGAAAATATTAATGTAACACTCGTAAGTTTAATTACATTCTCTTCTCATCTGGAGTCTTGCTTGTCCAAAGGTAGATTTGCATTGAGCAACACCCCAGTCATATTGTATGTCTCATATTTTGTTAGTAATAAAGTTACATGCAATTTTTAAAAAATATTAGGAATATTGATGTTATTCCATAAATTCAACTGTCATTGAAAAATTCCATTTGATGCTTTTCAGATACTGTAGAACGTGCCTGAGTATTTTTAACTTTTGTTTATAACTTGTCTTATAGTGATTCCTTTGTGAACGACTTGAGTAATATGCTGTTTGGCTTGTATTTTTAGTGTATAGAGGTTTTTTTTTTTTCATTTGGTGGGGCATAAAAATCCTCCTTTTACCAACATTTTGCTTCTCTCCCTCCAATTCATAAAAAGTTCCTTCCCTTATCTTTAAGACCCCTTTCAACTTTGTGAATGATTGGAGCGCTGGAGCAGAGCAGGCATTCTCTGGTGATGCTCAAATTCAAACTATTCTTTGTTTACTTTGCAGATACTTCCAACTGTGCTGGTAGGAATGATGGCAGAGTGGTCTAGCGGAATTGTTATGGGGCAGATACAAAAAAAGCCTGTAAAATACAGTGTGAGAGTAGTTATTGGTACCCCTTTTAAAAGGGAAGGCTGTATTGAATAAGATTTTTTACAATGGGCTATCCTGGATCTGACATAGTGTCTTTATAGATGATCTTGATAGAACAAGGCGGCCAGTCAAATGCGAAGGCAATGTACTAAAACTCAACTGCAGGGATACAGTGGGCAAATTTAGAGTTAAAATACTGAGCTAGTTGGAAAAGAGGCCAGAAAAAAACCCCAAACAACTATAGTCTTCAGGAGTGACAAAGGAGACTAGTATGCTTAAGCAGGAGTAATCCACTACCCAAATACCAAATGTGGATATAACTTTCTGCTGAACTGACAGGCATCATAGCAGGTAACAAGCTGAATGTTAGAGAGGCCATTGCCTTCTCCCTCTCATCTTATGCCCTGATGGAGTTACAACCTAAGTGTAGAGCCTGTAAGATGCTAGATAGCATAGGAGCAACTCCTACTGAATCACTAACCTGTAACTTAGCGTGCGGAGCTTTTGGTCCCTTGTTTCAAGAAAGATTGACCAACTGGAGGGAAAAGAACAATCAGCAGTTTAGAAAATGTGGCCTTAGGAACCACTGAACCCACAGGGGCTGCCCTGCTCCAGAGAAGAGATGGGGGAGGGAAGATGAGGGTGGCTATTACACTTGTCATATATGAAGAACCTGCTGCTAAAAGGATAGAAAAAGAAGCAGTACGTCAAATTAAAGAAAATTCAAGATAGATAGCTATTCAGTGGCTGGAAGGACAGGTTTTTCAAACAAATCAGTAAATTATTAGTTTGAAGTCTCAGCACTGCAAGTCCATAGCACATATATTGAGGTTGTAGCTCAATCAACTATACTTATTTAGGGCAAAGAGAAGATAAAAGCTAGAATGTATTCTTTAGGGCCCTGTAGTATTGGTTGAAGCTAGCATTTAAGTCAAATGTGAAGTAATTCAGGTCTGTGTATATGTATTTCTGTATCAGGCTTCTTCAGGGACCAGCAGTAAACATGCATTTTGTCTTATACAAGCATGTGACTGAGCATGCATAAAGAACAAAATAGTATAACAAATTATACTGTATAGGCACAGACAGTAATTAAGTGGGTTTTTTTTAGCATACACATAGTGAGAGAGAAAGAATGTATACACACATATAGATATAAAAAAAGGATGGTCAGTTGGCAATTAATATAGTAATCTTGGTTGTTTCATATTCAGATATTTTCAGTATTTTTAGTATGGATGTTTTGTCCCCCAATAATGAAGTATTAATCTGTATTCATAAAATGTGTAAATACAATAATACTTTGTATATAAAATATCAGCTGTGTAAATATGCTGTATTTTCTTGACTTGGGACTGTTTTGCAAATGAAAAGGATGAAATTGAATAATTTCAACTTACTTACCATTTATTTCCTGTACAATTTGCTATACCTGTAACACTGTATTAAAGTGTGTGACCTGAAGTGAGATTTTTGTTCTAAATTACAGCAAGCCTTGTGTTCTCAGAGAGGCCAGGTCCTGGATGCAGATATGCTGGGGCGCTGCCTAGGACTGCTGGAAACTCTCTCTCTCAAATGTATAATCTTTAGGTCAGCAGGAGGGGGTTGCCTTAGTGTTCATGCAGTTCATTCAAACACCTTTTAAAATTCTTATATTCAGTTCTCAGCAAATGCTGGTATCTTATATAGCTTGAATTAAACGTCAAATTAAATCCTCTCTCTGAGTCTATTTTACTGAGGAGGGACAGTATTATTTACCATTACTGTAAGCTATAATATGGTTTATACTGTGTCCTCACATGTATTTATGTAGTTGTACACTCACTGAAGCATGGTCTTTAGTTTTTAGGCATTTACCATGAAGTGGGCACTCTACATACTAACAGACCATCTCTGGTCTTGAATGGTTGTAGTAATGGTGTTCTTTTTGGAGAACTGAGGTTCAAGTTTTAACTTCCCTGCTGAAGTTATTAGTTCTTGACTCTCCAGCAGCCTTAGCAGTACAGAAAGGGGAAAATACCCTGAAACAGAGCAAAGGCTGACAAAACAGGTCATTAGCTTTTACTGTATTCCACTGAGGACTGGAGTGAGATCTTTCAGAGAGTAATAGAATTATATACTCCTCATGTATGTTTTTCCTATTCTTATGCCATACTGTTTCATCATGCATTTCCAGGAGGCATTATAATGGATGGATTAAAAGAATCTTAAACATAATTTCTTTGAATCATTGCCTTATGTTTAGCTAGAAGTCATTTGTTTACAGCAAAGCAGCTGGAGTATAATAATTTGAATTGTCATGTTTGAAGCTTTTAGGAAATCAAGTGACTCGGTGACCTAGATTACAAAGAGGACATTTGCTTCAAGAGAGGAAAACAGTGCGCAGGAGAGTATCAGATCTCATCATGGCACTGGAATACACTTGTGGCAGAGACATAAGCAGTATGTTCTATTTCAAGTTCTCTGAAATACACATCAAAATTGCTCATGTAACAAATGAAATGGGTTATCATGGATGAAGACTTTATTTGATAGTACATAATACATTTTGAAGTCTGCCACTATATCCAGCATTTAACCTGTTCTGGAAAAAAGAAGGGAAACAGATCTGTATGCTAGCATGAGCTGTGCACATCCAGTTCTGCAGGGAAGGGGGGGGCCATGCATCAAGTGCTGCCCTGACTCTTTTGACCAGAAAGTCCCCTGATAACTTTGAATCGTAATGATTAGCCTTTCATATAGCTAACTACATACCTCATGTCCAAAACTAAGAAAGCACAGGCCTCCAACTCTTGCTCTTGATGGAGAACATGTGGTTCTGTAGCCCTGTGTTGCCCTTGCTACCTGTCAATACCTGAGGCTGCTGAGTAAGTTCAGTCCAGCTCTGCAGTATCTCCAGTTGATTTATTTAGCTGAATTCCTCCTTTGCCAGCGAAGGGTTTTGTGGGGTTCTTTTAATCACAGAGTGGCAAAAATCATCAGTATTAAAGTATTCAAGATCTACAGCTCAGGTGCATGAATACTAAATTGCATGACAAATACACATAATTTACTTTACCTTTTAGCCTCAGAGACTGTATATCACTGGATTTTATTAGAGAAGTTCATGGTTTTGCCTTTCCCTTTCTTTTCTCTATGAGCAGGTATTTTCTGATTTTACATTGTAGATTTGTTGGTTTTTTTTTTTTAAAAAAAGGTTCACAGCTAAAACTTGTTTACACAGAAGAACATTTCACAAATATTCACCTTTGAAAACTGGAATACATAACTTGACCTAGTAAGTTCTTACAGAATACAATACATGTTTATGCAAATAAACATATGTAATTATCTTAGGGGAACTCTCCATGAAGTTAAATCTACCACAGATGATGCATTTATAGTGAGTTTTGAGAAGAGGCTCTGAAACAGACAGCCCAAGCAGTTAGAAAACTTGCAATAATTCCATTTTCAAACACCATTAATTTCCAAGTACTCCTTTTGAAGGATTACCCTGGTCAAAACTCTTTCTATTCACTTCATAGTGAACCAACTCATGTTGGTTTTCTGGGAAAAGATGAATTTTTTTAAACATTTTCTACAAAGTTCGTTATTACACCAATCCCCTTTCCCCAAGGCAAACCATCGTGTCTATTAGTTCTTGGAAAAAGAACGAAAGAACAGCTTTAAAGTAACTGCTTTTGAAGACTGCAGAAAGTTTCTGTGTTTGCCTTTGACTCTGCTCTAATGCAGAGGCCGAGCAAAAATCTGAATCAGACTGTATTGCTGCCACAGTGCTTCTGAAGTCATGTGGGAGCTGTGCAGTGGGGACTGCCAGGGTGTTTTTCTGTAAAAAGCAGCTTGAAGGACTTCAAAGATAGAAGGGAGATATATGGAAAAAGTAGAACCACCATTAGGGAAGAACAGAAGCAGGAACCAAACACTTAAATACCTTTTACAGGATTAATACATGCTTCAGAAGGACACTAAGAATACAATTCAAATGTGTTGTAAGTTAAGTTGGTATTATCCCTTGATCATTTTATTAAATACCTTTCATCTAGGCGTTAAATGTCACCAGCATCAATACTCATGAATACTTCTCCTTTCTCCCCAAAGTAGCAGTTCTACACCCAAAGAAAAGCCACAAAGCAGAAGAAAAGCTTAGGTTAGCCCACTGGGAATAGCAATTTTTTCTTCTTCTAAAACCAGACCTGGATTATTTTGAAACCTAGTTTTAAGTGCTTTAAAAATAAGCTTCATTTATCGATTGCAGAGGAGATGGATTCTACACAGATTTTTCCCCTCATTTAAGCAGCATTTCTGTTTTCAAGCATGG